TACATAACCCTGACTTCCTGTTGACCGTATTGGAGCTGGATACATATCATTCACCGTATTGTAAGTCGTTACGTAGCCTTGTGGTATCCTGTGTCCAAGAGGTACCAGGGCCTCCGACGGAAGCTGAGAGGGTGACATATCACTTGGGGTGCTAGGATACTTTGTGGGCGAAAAAGTCGTTGCCGTGTACGTTGGAGCGTCCGTTGTAGAAGTAGCATTGTCGGAGCGCCTGTGTCGTGGTTTTCTGAACAGGTAGAATAGCAAAATCCCGAGTAGCAGTGCAACGCCCCCCACTGTCCCGCCTACGATTGCACCGATAGGTGGGCTTTTGCTGGAGTTTTGTATATTTTCGTCATCAGATCCATCAAGTGGGCCGCTCGAGTTTGGACCAGAGCTAGGAGGCAAGCCAGAACTATAAAAAAAGCAACTAGGTAAAGCTCTGTGTGACTTGTGGTTTAGGAAAACATACCTAGGTACATATCGAAGAAAGTCAAGGGCAGCATATTTCCCACTGCTATCGGAGTAAGTAACTTGGATGGTATGAGTACCGACTGCTAGATCGGATTTAGACCAGATGAGCTTCTGGGTCAACTGAGGGGCATATGAATCAACACGAAACATTTCAGTCCTAAGTAGACATACCGAGTTCTGCGACGACGCACTAGTGCCCTCGCTCACAGTATTCCCATCAATAGTTATCCGAACTGTCCCGTACTCAGGGCCTATGTTTGAAAAGTACCAAATCCCAGTCCCATTGAATGCCATCTGGACGCTTGCTCCTGGACTTTGGGTTACCCGTCGGCTTTTATTAAAGAAGGGGCCCGCCTAGACGATTGTTGTTGGACAAAGGCTGGAGTAGGGGTAGGTATCTTACTGTCTCTGTTTGCCAGTCTCCTGTGAATTTTAACTGTGAATCACTGCCATCGACAAGCGTAGTGTTGATCGGTACCAAGGTGGAAACTCTGAGATATCAACATTAACCGAAACTACATCTAGGATATAAGCTCTCCACTCACGGACCGGCGAAGCCAGACACTGGATCGCCATTTGACGTGATGTTGTATCGAAAGATATTAGTATCGCTGTTGAACACATCAACACCCAGCTCACGACACATAGTCAATCATCACGTTAGTCAACTGCGGCCCGGCATTCTCGATCACAAGCTGATGGTCGCCTTCAGGGAAGTTCCCATTCCAGAGCGCCTGACGGTATTGCTGCGTTGGACTTGCCAAACTGATAGCAGCTGCGGGCTGCCCATCGATGGATACTTTCACAGACCCAAGGTTGCTTTGACGGTCGCCGTAGTACGTTATGGATGTTCCTGCGTTCGATACAAAATCACCCACGAGTAGGTTCCGGTGGGATAAGTAGACGTACTTGAGAAAAACAAAATAGCCTGGCTACCGGTTGTATTGGAGTAATAGCTGGTATGATGATAGTGTGCAGATATAGGTTCGCCAGGGCCCCAATCAGCACCAAAGCATTGAAAGCCTGATGGACTCCAGGGAGGGTCATCAATAATAGTCGTAGTGCTCATCTATAGTTCAGCTATTGGAGGGAGTTTGTGAATCTCCATGGTCGCAGTAGAACAGAGAGTGCGCTGTGGCAGAGTGGTGTCCTTTTGGCTCCAGGCACTCCACTATGCAGGGAGTGATAAGATTCGTGATGGAGCCGCCATAAATAGCAGGTAATTCAGATCTTTGAATGTGCAAAGCACTCGGCCATCATACTTGGCCGTCCTCCAGCTAATCCCTGCAAAGCTGCACCTGGGTAGGCCATACTGTAAATCATCACTCAGTCCACCGTGGGCGATACTTTTATTATTGGGATCTGCGAACAAACGCCAAAGTAGCGATTTCAAACAAGATCAGTGTAATGGGACGGTGTGACTGCATCCTAATTGGGATGAGGATGAACGATGCTCATTACATAACCATGTAAGATTGACCCAGGTCGAACATGATAGCTCAAACTAAATACTCCATCACGCTAAACTGTAACCATTGCTCTATTTGGGGCCCATCTATAATATAGGATATGGAAAGCACGTTCAACACATTTGCTGCGTGGAACGCTGCCCTTGGTTTTTTGCCGATACCATGGTGTTCATTTGAACCCGCCCAGCAGCGGCCGTGCACCTATGTCGACCCTACTGCAGAATCTCTCCAGGCAGTTCCCTCGAGGCTTCGCATGTACCCCCGATTTGACTTGCATATAATTGGACGTACTACACAAATTCCAGTTTGACTTGAGGCCTAGTACTAACTGCACGTCATATTTGGCGTATTTTTCCTTGTCATTTTAGGTTGAAATGTATTTTCCCCCTAACTTAGTTCGGTGCACACTCAAAAGCGACGGATTCGGGCTGGGGGTATTGCGATTCGGCGCCCCCTTTGCTAAGATGTAGAAGGATTTCAGCGAAGATTTTATGCTATCTTATTGTCCCATAACTTGGTAAATGCTACTTGCGTAGTTCCTTCAGTCAAAATGATTGCAGCACCCCTGATGCCCATCACAAAATTTCTCCCTATCCATCTTATTGGCTTTGTAGTGCGTGTAGTGCTGCAGACCTAACGAACAACGAGAGAGACGGACTGTATTACATATGGTAGAGAGACAAGAACGAGGGAACATGAGATTACATACGTCGGCGAGCGTGGAAGCAAGCTGAGACCGAAGAAGCAAGAGCCCCTATCTATATCAGGGCGGCAGAGCACAACAACGCCAGACATTGAGTAGACGATGAGCGCACACGCAGGTAGCTCACGGTTACCTGCTATGTTGCATAACAATTTTTTCCGCGGAACTTTTTGATTATCTACACGAAACCATGGTCTACTGCGTCATGTGTTTCGTGAGAGTACTTCTCGAGATGGACCCCTACTCGCTCGTTCAAATGATGTGCTGCAACCAATGTGTTATGCACCACAGAAATAATGAACAGTAAATATCTATAAGCAATATTTCCGGGCGAGTGCTACCTCTTAGATATTTGAAGGCGACTGGCCAGCTTTGTTACGCTTCGCAAGTTCGTTAGCGCTCGTTTCGGTATTTTCACGGTTGCTAATGCTCCGTCTGCACTTGAAGAAGCAGTAAGCATTCATACTACATCTTTTCTAGCCTGCTTCTGGGGCCATAGAGTCAATGCTCAATAAATCAGGCTGCTTTGTCTTCCTGAGTTTCGTCTTGGTGTGCGCCAGCGTTGAGTGGATGCTCGCCTGGAAAGAGTGTATATTCGAATTACTGCTAACCGTGTCAAATATCCCTGCTGCTTTTAGATGCTATTTTGACGGGCTTTATGATATGCGATGACCTATATATGGGCAACCAGCACTATTTTTCCTGCATATCCACTAGGAGGGCCATGCCCTTCATGTAGAGAATCCAGGCCTCAAGTCCATAAGGCATGTCAAGTGGACAAATTACGCGATTTTGACTGTTACTGCGAGTTTATGGACCCTGTTCTTTGGTATACGTTGGTACGTCGGATGGCTGCGTTATTCAATACAGCTAGCTTGTTTCAAATCCGAGGTACGGTATATGCGCAGTTCCGCAAATACGGCATGGAACACGCGTCAAATAACACGCATAAAGGTTGGGGCGAATAGCTGAATCCTACAGGATCATTCACTTCGACACCGTAAATTTCAAAGGCTCCGAGGCGCCATTACTCATAGGCTCATAGGTGCTGCTCAAGTATTGGACGCACTACTTTCAGCCGGGGGTTGTTGGTGCCTTATGCGCGTTCCCTTGGGTTTGGCCGAATATATCAATCGCGTTGAAATAGATTGCAGCTCGCAGGGTGATCTGTCGACCATAGCTCAAGCAACACCAACACAGGTGCTAGGGCGTTGAAGCGACCTCGTGTTGAGGCTGCCCCATCTAAGCGGTAAAACATGACATAATAGTCATTTGCACATAAGAGCACCAACAAAACGGGTCCAATAGGATGGAGTTGGCTCATGTGCAACTGGATTTGCGTGCGGAATCGACAGTTCGACAATCAAACCTTGCGGGGGAACGAGTCGGGTGACTGTTGCAGTGATGGGCAGGCCTATTCGAACCCTATACATAGAAAGACGGCCTACGCTCACAGCGTCTTGTATGTAAGCTGGTATAATATCGGGTGTCTCGTATTCACGCTGCGAGTGATTGCAGCGCCCACTTCTCTGTGCTCAAACCTTATCCTGTGTTCAGATCGAGAGCTCGTGACCTCATAGCCCTGGATCTGCGGGCCTTGCGTAAATCTGAGCACGGTCCAATTTAGACATGCGGAGCCGGAATCCATAATGAGTGAGATATCATGTACAATTTACGTATCTGTGGTTAGATGGTGCAACACGCTCGATCCCCAGCTACTGTGCGATGAATAAGGGCCTGATATGCTAACCTGAAAATCAATTGCACGGAGCAACGAGTCCTCTAGCACGACAAAAAGCACAAGTCAAACACCTTCGCGTTGCTAAGCTAGTTCACCCGTAAAGGTAGGGCGGCCAGCCGGCACTAGAAGTATCGAATCTATGAAGTAGTTTTAAAAAACGAGCAGTTGCACATGTATGCAGATTTTGCCAGCGTCAGTACGCATACAACCTGACCATTGATCGCCTACACATGTATTATTGTGTAGCATGGGCACGGGATCCACCTTAAGGCTAAGGTAGACGACAAAGACTCGTATAATACGGCTTGACGCAAGGCAGCACTTCGTTATCTGTGGTACCGATTCTGATACCTCGACACTGCGTATATGCAAGCCCTCAGCGTCCTCATCCTTTGACTGTGCTACAGAGCCGTTTCTACGAGACTTATTTCCATATCAGGCACGCAACAACTGCGCTTATCTGTGTGCACGTGGAGCTGGTTCGGCTATTGCACTCCGACATCCTTGAGCTAGTTTCCCCGGGGAAAAAGATGGCAATTAGGAAGTAAGCGGCTGAAAACCCACTATGGGCAAAGCTTTTGGGAATTATAATGCTTCTTGGTCCCCTCGAAGCAAGGCCGCGGTAGCTCAGTTGGGAGAGCGTTAGACTGAAGTTCCTTCCGGTGAACCCGGATTGAATTTGGAATCTACAGGTCACCCGTTCAAGCCGGGTTCGTGGCATTCTTTTTGCACTTGTGAACGTCCAAAACAGTTTAGTTTTGAGCGAGAAATGACGCAAGAGGCGGTACGAGCGCTAGGGACGTGAATATAGCCGGATAAACGATTTTCCGCTTTCCCACACTTTTTCACCTCGACAAAAACGCTTGCTCGAGATCTATAGAGCCCTTTTGCCTTGGATCTACGTCCGTAACTCTTGATTTGCGGCTCGTACGGGAGTTGCGAGCGGGCGACCGCTCACTACGATGATCACGTGACCTTCGTATTGTACCCCCTCCTGCTAATCTCTTCGTGATTGATGCAATAGTTTTGCGCTCTAAACGTACGACAGATGAGTAGAATTAGTTGCTGCAAGTCCTTCTCGTCCGAGATTCAACAAATATGGATGCACGATGGCTAGACCCGCTGGTTAGTCTAGCGAAAGCACGCATATACCCAACTTAGGGCCCCACCCAAGCTCCACCAACCAAGAAATCATCTCACATGAGCTATTGGCTATCACAGACGCCCAGACTAGCCGCCTAGAGACATAGCATAGGGGGATTGGCAACGGGGTTGTATTTCACGTGACATCAGGCGAGACATTTTTCACAAAAATGATCTCGATTCGTCGTTGGATGCACAAGGCCAATGCCGATGTTATCGATGCACATGATGCGATAGAATCTCATGCGGTATGCCCCCAAAACGATAAAAGACAGCATATGCGCATTTATTTAGGTAGCATATACATGCTTGCCCTCACACCTATCACTTCTTTGGCCAACGATAAACATCCAACCGACAATCCCCCTCATGAGATCTCCGACCTGGCTCAGATCGCCAGGCAACCACACCAAATCTATGTGGGGAGACCCCCTTTACCCCACACTCGACACGTGGGGTTGGTTGATCGCAGTGATGAGTCTGGACAATCGTCCGAGTAAACAGGCTCGAACTCGACATGCGGACAGACTCGTTCAACATGCGGATCGTCTTGAGCCGGCGTGCATCCACCAACGTGTAATTCTAGGCAATGTAATCCAGGCAACGCAAGGTCCGAGAGCATGAGCACCGGCTGCTGCTAAGCTAAGCTCGCTTGTGTTGTTGCTCCCCTTTGCCCGATGGTTGACAGCTCAGCAAGCACGACTAAGCAATCTCGCGAAAGAAAGGACTAAATAGGCTCGCGAGGCGCGCCTCGGAACATGCATGAGCTCGTCCGGGCCGTGCCACCGAAGAAAAGAAACGAGGCGAGGGTTGAACACAACGTCATAGCTATCGAACGAGGCACGCTCGACAGCGTTGGTTTCATCGTGGTAAACGTAACCGGGCCAAGGGGGCCGCAAATAGACGTGCTTTTTTGTTGTCTATACGACTTGCCTTGCTTTTTCAGTTATAGCTCGTGAATGTGTGTGTTTGAGCCCAGGCATGTCCTCGTGTATGTCGAAACCCGGGCTGGATATGCCTATCGCTAGGTAGATTAGGCTTAACAACGTGCGTTGGGTGTCTCAAGGACATAGCGTGGCGCACCTTGTGTCTGTCGTTATGGTGCAATTGCCGATTTTGCCGTTCGAGCTCGGTTGCGCAAGGCTTGTCGAGTTTCGGCTATCATATTGATACGGAGAATGGGGGGATGTCGTTGTTGACCTATGCACACCGAAATATCTCGGAACGAGACAGAGGGGGAGGAAAGGGCACTACACCGACCAAACAACGCCAAACACATATCCCCCAGACGATCAACAATGCTGAACAAGCAGATCGCCGGGACGTTTCGAAGTAAACAAACTGACCCGATGGTGCTCCGTACCCTTTGACCCAAACGTATGCGGGGTAACCGGGATAGAGTTGTCGACCGGATTCAGGAACGATTAAAGGCAATCGAAGACGGGGTCGTTGGTCAGAGGGCTCATAGGAATTCAATTTCCGGATAAGATAGTGTCGAGGTTGAGATAGGTATTGAAGTGGACAACATGCCTGGGATGTCCCCCAGAGAACGTTGACCAGAGACAGGAGAAAAAGATGGGGAACGAGACCCATCCCCCATGGGGCGTCCCTCGAACAATCGCGATCGTCCAACGTTTCGAGGTGGTGAACGTCATATCGTCTGGTCTAATTAGATTAGGCTTGTACTCGTGTTGGTGTTGTTTTCCTTATCTCAGTCGTCTGGTATGACGGACTGGCCAGCATGTAAAATCGAAGCCGGTGAGGCGAGGTCAAGTGTTCGGATCGAGTGCCGGGTAATATAACCATAATTCGATTATCTCATATGTACGAATTCTTTCGACAGACGGGGGCGAAATACACGTAGATCGACGTGGAGTGAGAGACGAGGCGCGGTCGAACCCCAGAATAAACGAATCGAGCGGCCGGCGGTGGAGCAGACTGTCAAGCTGATCACGTATGTGAAATGATGCCTAATTGGGACGAAATGAGAGTGACACCAACTGGGGCAAACGGACTCCAAATCGAGCACACAGATCGAAATGAAAATTGATCGGCCTGTGGAATACGATACACGAGCGATACACGCCCAGACAGCGACGACGCACTGGGAGCGCAACCGTTGTCGATAGCGCGTCCGGACCGCATCAAGTCACGTGTTGGACAAGCGTGCCTCGTTGCAGCCTCGTGTCTTCACTCCGCTATTTCATCCCCATCGTCGACCGCATCGAGCACGACGTAGGCAGCAAGGCAGTGCACTCTGCGTATACAGTCGCCCGTCAGTGGTGCTTGGTCGACAAGATCCGAGCTGAGAGACGAGCCGAGGAAACGAGGTCAGCCGCGAGGACTATTTTTTTAATCCCCTTTGACCCAAGGCGTGTGTGCTTTTCGAAGCCTTGGAAATTGGTTACGTCTCGAGTGCATCGGAGCGAGAGCCCCACCCTTGCCTTCTCAGGGCATACATAACCAGCCAGATCGAGTCCCGAGGGCTCGTTGCAATTTGCCCCCCCTCTTCCTTTCCCCTAGCCCCCCCAGCATGGACTACAACCTCTGGGCGCGCCAGCAGCAGGACTCGGTGGCCCGCACCTGGGCCGCCCTCCGACGCGAAGAAGACGAGATCGAGCGCGAAGAGGCCATCGTCGTCACCCTCGGCCAACGCCTCGCCCAGCTCCGCGACCGCATCCAGGTCTCCCCCCGCACACAGCTCGACGCGCTCCTCCACCAGATCGCCAAGGACGAAACACGCATGCTCGCCTCGATCGACGCCGTCGGCGCCCGCCTTGCCCACGAAAAGGCCGTCTTCCAGCGCGAGGTCCAGCGCATCATGCACTCCAAGGCCAACACCTCGCGCTCCGACCGACACACGCGCGCCGCCTGGGACTATGCCGAACAGATCTGGAGACACGAGGAGAGCCAGATCCAGGAGCGTATCGACCGGGTCGCGGCCATGGGTCTCGACTGTCGTCGTCGCCTCGCTGCCTCTGCCCGCCGTCGTCCGTCCACCGCGGCCGTCGATGCTGAACCCCCCGCCGAGGAACTGCGTACACCCCCTCGAGAACGTAAACCGTCTCACGCCCCGCCGCCGACGACTGCCGACCGATTCATGCGCGAGCGTCGACCGTCGAATGTGGTCCCCTCTTCGGCCCCTGCGCCCGTCGCTCCCGTTGCGTCTCGCGAGTTTATACGCGAACGCCGGCCGTCGGCGGCTGTCCCCACCTCCCGCCCTGTCACCTCGGCCGCTCGCCCAGCGACAGCAGCTGCTGCCCCCCCCACCACTCCCGCCCGTACCAGACCGCCGACGAAAAGGAGCCCCGACCACGTGAGCACCGGGAGAGGGACCGAGAGAGGGACCGGGAAAGGGACCGGGATCGTGAGAGGGCAGAGCCGCGAGAACGAGACAGGGAGCGCGAGAGAGACCGGGACAGGGACAGGGAACATCGTCGCGAACGCACTCGCTCGAGCGTCCAGACCGAGGATCGCATGCGCACCGCTGCCGCATGGACTGCCTATGAATGCCGTTGGGCCGGCCTTCAGGCCCCTATTCCATCAGCTCCCACCACCCCGCTGACGTTCCACAACGTGCCTTGGCCGGTTGGGTTCCAGCCCGACTCGCCTCGATCCCTCACCCCCGACCGAATCAAAAAGTTCTTGCTCTCGCCCAACCATTCGCCCCACCGGAGCCCGAAAGAGAGACTAAAAAGCGCACTGTCGTTGTGGTAAGTGGATCACGGTAGCTTGAAAGAGAGGGGCCACGAGCGCTGACTGTGGCTGTTCTGTTTCCTAGGCGCCCTGAAGAATGGGACGACAAGTGGATGAACAACGTCGAACCTTCGGAACGCGAAAAGGTTCGCTACGGCGTCACCGTCGTCGCCCAATGCCTTGGCGAACTTCTCAAAGAGGCCCGACGAAACCCTGAGGCCTAGATCCAACGTTTTTAACCTTCTCACGACCCCAAGTGCAGCGCACTCACGCAAATTAATCGTTAATATTCGCTTTTTTCAACTTTCTGAAACGACCTGGTGCCACGATTTCACGACGCCCTGGATGGATATATGACCTACGATCTTGACGATTCTCCCACCACTCTGCATATGTATTTCTTTCCACTGGCCAGCATGCTTCAACACCTGTTTCTCTTATGACTTTTATTTGTTTTCTTATTTTTCCACCCCTGGCACTGTTCGGTTCCTCTTTTTTTTATAAACTGTAACAATAGCTTATACAATAACCTTGCCGCTTTGAAACGAATACACACACTTTGAACACCCTCATTTTACTTGTCCCTGTGTGAACATCCCCCGATCTCGCTCAACGCATGATATCATCCCGACAGTGCCATTCGTCATTATTGATACGCCCCCCTTCGGCCGTCGACCACGACACACACACGACGTAAAAAGTCGACACGATGGTTCCGCGAGGCATCTGCCCATCAGTCATTTTTTTCGCTCGCATCTCATTCGGGTAAAGCGCGAGTCCGGGGAATTTACTTGACATGGCCAGTCCGTAGCGCGCGTCCTGTCAGCTAGGAGGATAAGCGGGCGTCTTGTCATGATGGCGCGCGATCGACAATATTCACC